AGGATTGCAGAAACAGGATTAATCTTCTTCGGTAGCTGTTCAAACAAGTCTACCACTGCAGCTTCAATATATCCCAATACTTTTGGGAAGATGACCATACCATATATACCCATAGCAAATAGATCGAATCGTACTTTAATATCTGGATGGCTCTGAATAAGTTCTCTGATGCTGGTCCAAGCAATGCCTTCGCTTTCGCCTTTTTGTTTTGTACGGGATGCTACCCATTCTTCTCGTACCCCGGCAATCTTTGCTAATTTAACTCGAAAGGGTTGAGTTTTAATTGACTTTGAATAGATTCGATTCTCCAAAGCACCATCTATATGTAACAAAGTTGTGTATTCTTCAATAGTAGGGACCAAATCTTCTTTATTGAGAGTGAAGCAATTGTACCCCGGATTCCAGAATTGAACTAGGGCTCTGAGTAATTCATTATCAACTTCAACATAGAGCAAATATGGGATGTCTCCGTAAGTCTGATAAAACTGCAATTTTTTGTTTGAATCCCAACTTTCCCAAATGCTTCGCAAATCTTGCATATCATTTCTTTTTAGTGAAACTGAAGCATAACTGGCCAAGTCAGATACATAATCATCCTGCAGACTGTCTCCTTCTTGTCTTTGTAAATCTTCAGCCCACTGTCTTACTTCTGAGTTTAGAATTACTTGACTTGAACACTTTTTATCCATAAATGAAGGCTTTCCAATGAGACAATTAACACAAGGATCAATGTCTTTTATCCTGTATGATGCAATGCAAACAGAAAAATAAAGAACACACAAAAAGAAAATAAATTAGTTTACATAATAAAGAAATTTAATAATAACATTTACATAAATATTCTTTATTTAAACATGCTTTTCTGAATTTAAATAATTTAAATAAACATGTAATTTAAACAATAAATAAATTAACAGAAAAGACAGAATTCATTTCTCCTGTGTGTACACCTATTCTGGATAAAATTTCGGCATGACTTCGGATCGGAAGAGTTTCTAAGGTTTTTTATATGCAGGGTTTCAGATCTAGGAGTAAAGGTACTCGAATTGTCCATGTTAGTGCCCCCTTAGGCTGCTAACCCTCAATCCTAGTCCATTACAGACTAAAGTGGATCGAGTTCAATTCGAGGGGATACATTTCTCTATGCCTGACACGGAGAATAAATTCTCACGAAGATGTAGAGCATATGAACCCCGAAAGTTACTTGCTAGGTCTGACACGGAGAATAAATTCTCACGAAGACGTCGCTTTCACTCCCACTTAAAAAGGACAACTCAATTATAGAGCTTTATGTAATGCAAGTGTTGTGTGTGAGGAAAAATGTTCAAACCTTCAACAGAGAAATAAATAATGAAATAAAATAATCTTGCAAATAAAATAACACATATAAATAATATTATGAAAATAATAAGTAAATATAAAGATTTTGAAAAGAAAGAAAAAAAATTAAATATATAATTTTTAATTTTTAATTAATAGAGACAATTTATAATTGACTTTTAAAAGTTTGACCAGTCCCCAGCGGAGTCGCCAAGCTGTTGTAACCGGTTTTCGTCCGGGCACGAAATTTTTTTTTTTATTTGTAGGGAAATTGATGTGAATAAATAATTTTGAAAATAATTTGGGAGTCGCCATCGTCTTTTTGGGTTAGGTAGGTCGAATACCTAAAAATTATCTTTTAAATGAGTTTTAAGAAAACACCAATTAAAAAATGAGCTGATCTGCGTTTATAACCAAAAATTCGTTCTTTTTAATAAAAAGGGATTCGTGGTCGGTTACGTTTAGGGAAGGATTAGCACCCCTACAACGCCCAAAATTGGTACTTTTTAATTATAAATTGTCTCTATTATTAAAATTTTAAAAATTCAAAAAATATATTTAATTTATAATTCTATTATTTCAAAATTATAAAAAAATATTTATTTATTTAAAAATATCCGAAAAGAACTTCTAGGTGCCTTAAGACAGCTCTTTTCTTTGATATTGATAAATATTAATTTTCAATAATATTATTTACTTTTTAATTTTAAAATATCAGAATAGGACATCCAGTTGTATTAAGACTGTCCTTTTCTTCGATATAAATATTTAAAAATACTATTTATTATATATTTATGAATATAAAAATATTTAACAATATAATAAAATAAAAATACTACTAAAACAATATATTTAAAAACAATAAAATAAATTAAAACATATAAAATAAATGACTAAATTACAGTAAAAATAAAATTAAATCTAATTCATAATTAATCAAAACTATAGGGATTAAATATGTTATTTCTTTATTTTTATTTATTTGGTGACTAAAATAAAATTATCTAAAATTCGGATATTAGATTCAAATAAGTTAAAAATATAAACTAGGGATTAAAATATTATTTATTAAAATTAATGGATCAAATCTATAATTTATCCTAAATATATTATTTTAATATGAGGGACTAAAATAAAAGAAATTAAAATTCGAAGACTGAATTAAAAATATTATAAATTCAATTTAGTGACTAAAATGTAAAGTTTACAAGTTCAGAGGACTGCGGACGGGGTTTAACTATTTTATAATTACGCGCATAGTCCTTCCCGAAACGACGTCGTTCGGGAAGGACTATATATGGTCCAAATCGGCTGGCCCGAAGGGCCAGCCATTTCATTTCATTTTTTTTCTCTCTCTCAAGACTGAGAGAGTTTTAAAACTCTCTGCCTTCTCTCTAGCTTCCCTCATCGGAGGGAAGCCGGTCACTGGTCGGCCACCGTGTGCCGCCGTGAATGTCACCGCCGGCCACCGCATCCGGTGGCCGGAAAAAATTATTCTTATACTAATAGATAGATCGGACCGTCCTAAGGACGGTCCCGGTGTTCTTTTCCCTTAAAAGCTCCTAATCGGAGCGAATCTACAAAATACCTTCGATGTTTCGAAGGTTCTGACGAGATCCGGTGGTCGAGGCTTCCTCGGTAAGGCTCTTCTTCCTTTTTCTCTCTTCTTTTTTTTTCTTCTGGTTTTTGTGCTGCTGAGATCGTTGGTAATAGTTTGTATCTTCTCTGTTTTTTTTTTCTTTCTGTCTCTCTCTTTTTTTTTTTCTCTCTGTTTCGTTCTCTGTCTCTGTCCCTTTCTTTTTTTTCAGGTTGGGGTGGTGGCTTTTATAGCCACCACCGGTGTGGCCGTCGGACCGGTCCGAAGATGGGGTCTCGGTGAGTCACCGGACTACCAGTGGTGACTCACCGAGTAGCCATGGCGTGGACGGCTGGTATTCCAGCTTCTGGATTCTTTGGTTGGGACGTGGCAGCGGCGGCGGCAGCGAGAAAGTGTCGGCAGCCGCGTGGAAACTGGGGCGGCGCCGCGTGGCCCTAGGGTATCAAACCCTAGGGTTTCTCTCTGGAACCATCTGGACCGTTGGATCTTGCCAGATCCAACGGCTGTGAGCTGAGGCGGCTGGTTAAATTAGGGTTAGGAAACCCTAACTGGAAACCCAAATATTTAGGGTTTCTGGTTGGATTTGGACCGGTTCTGGTTGGTTTGTAACTGGGCCGGTCCAGTTGTAATTGGTCTGTAATTTATATATGTATTTAATATATTTAATAATATAATAATGAATAATAATAATAATAATAATAATAGTAATAATAATAATAATAATAATAATAATAATAATAATAATAATAATATTAATAATAATAATATGGATAAAAAAATTAGTATCTTCAAAAAGAATACCTAAATGCCATGGAACCTTACTTGTTTTTACCTTAATGATCATACCTTGATGTCATGCTTCAATGTTCACTTAATGCATCATAAATGCACACAAAATCCAGATTATAAACATGCTATACATCATCATAGACCTTGCAGCAATCACATACACTCATGCACACTACCTTTCAACAAAGTCACATATTACATACACATTGTTTCTATTTAAGATCAATGGCCCTTTTGTTCAATACACAACTCCCTCATTGGATCAACATACTCCATATGACTCCCATTTTATTTGTGAACTCACAAAGGTCCAAAACCACAAAATTGTAGAGTAAACTTTCAATGCCCAGCCTTACCCTCTGTCTTCTCGAAGCATAGCTCAACGCACCAACCGAACCCCATATAACCCAGCCACACATATATAAAACACATATATTACTATTTACTAGGCATGCCTTCCGTATCCAAAGGTCCCATTAAAAATAAATAGTCATTTAATCCAAGTGCACAAGAGTGGTTGTCAAATGATACATAATTTTTACATATATTATTCCAAATTCATTTTGAAACACAATCACAATTGGTTGTCATAACTTCACACATATGGACAGCGAGAAGATCGACTCGTCCAAGCATACATTCTAAAACACAATCACAAATGGTTGTCATTATCAACCCACATATGGACAACGAGAAGATCGACTCGTCCAAGCACACTTTCACATATATATACATTTTCCAAATATGTTTCTAAAACATCTATGCATTATTTGCAAAACATAACAATTCACGTAGCACATTCACACTTCCATCACTTTGCATAACACATTTCACATCACGTTTTTCCAAACACCATATTTCATAGTCTTTGTTTCATGTCACACATACACTAATAATGATCACATGCTTCCATTATATCATACCTCATATTCAACATTCATTAACACTCATGCTTGCATATAACGCTTGCTCCCAATGCATCACTAATCATAATTAATACATCATAACTCATATAACTATCTCAATCACATTCTTTCAACATATCCTTAAGTCATAATCAACATGCTTTTATACACATGCTCATAATGTAATTCATTTTCAATGCTCCATAAGTCATGTCACAAGGTACAATGTTCACATTGATCACGTACTTTAAACTACACATCATGAATTCACACAATCAATTATCAACAACAAGTATACCAATTAGAAACTAAAATTCAGAGTTCACACATAACTAAACCTTCATTCAACATTGAACAATTTCATCATAAGTGAATGGACAACCACTCACCTCGATGGTGCAACCACGCGATTCAACCCCAAACGCTAACCAAATGGCCACCAACAAATGATGAACCATTTTTCTCCAATTATACATACCTAAGGTACCTTAGAAATCAATTAAAAAATTTCACAAAAATATAAAATAAAGCACAAAATTCTGCTTATAGAACATAACGAAAATCAACCGAAAAATCGACAAACCTTACCGAAACAACTCTCCAAGTCTTCGATCCAATCGACACTACTTTTCCCCAACAAGAACTGATCAAGAAAAACTAATATCAGCATCTAAACTCATCTAGAAACCTCTCAATTGACATCAATTAACACTAATTCCTGGATTTTCAAAAAAGTCAAAATCAATATTATTTTTGAAGAATTCCACGTCGAAATCAAATGAGATTTGAAAAACTGATTTGGTATGATAATAATATCATCAAAAACACCTTAATCAACCCAAGAAAACCTTAAAAAATGATCAATAAAAATAGCATATTAAATAACTCCGAAAATCACTTTTAATTCATAACTTCTCTTTAAAACAATTATTCAATTAAAATCATCAATCACATTTAATCATTAATCGTTGAAGCATAAAAAGAACCAAGGAAAATAGAATTACCTTGTTGGAAATGAAAGAAACAAGAAGATCAACAATGACAGCACCAAAGAGATAAAGGAAAATCAGCAAAGAAGAAAAAGAGAAGAAACAATCTTGATTGAAGAGAAAAAATTAAGAAGAAATGAGTAAGAATCAATAACAAAGGAATAGAAAATGAAGAAGAGTTTCAGTCATTAGATAAAACTTAAGAGAGTTTATGATAAAATACAAAAGTGTTTGGATGAGAGAAAATGAAAGGAATGGTTATTGAGAATATATGAATAAAAATGGGAAAGAATTAAGAGAATGAATCTAGCTAGGAAATTAGCAAAAAGGAGGTGAAAGATACGTTTAAGAAAGGAGGGAAAAACAATCCACACAAACCATGATAAAATAAGCATAATAGATTTTCGATTTGTGATCTTTTACAATTTAATAATTAAAATCAATATTTCCAATTTATCCAATTTATTCACTCCATAAAATATATTTTTATATTAATTAAAAATCATATTTTAATATTACAAAAATCATTTAAACACTTTCCAATAATATTTACAAATTTATATATCCAAAAATAATATTTTATCAGAAATCTCAAAAATTACTCGATTACTGGCCTGAACTACTAACCCGAATTTTACGATGTTACAATCTTGATTATGCCTTTATAATTTAGGCCCCTATTTTTTTCAATCTGGATTTCTACCATTATAATTAAGGCCTCTAATTGTTTACAATTTCATAAATTCTCAATTTCTCATCCCTTTCTCCATCTCTCTCGTTAATTCTTTTAATTTTAAATTAAATCTAATCATATTTGTCTCTTTTTTTTACAAATCTTATTTTTCAAATTTTCAAATATTCTTTATCTCTTAGTCTTCTCCACTTTCAATCTAATGATAACACAATATGTTATTTTTATTTTTTAATTTATTATTTAGAAAAAAGCTCCATATCATAATTTATACCCTTATTCTAGTCGTATTTGAGGTGTTTTTTTAACAAAATAATAAAATTAACATTCGAAAAAGTTTAAATTTTTTTCTACGATATTAAATTAATTGTTTAAAGTAATAGAATATATTTTCCTTCAATCAGGGCCTATTTTTTTATTTTCTCTCAAGGTCCCGAAAATGTTCGAGGCGGCTCTGCATGTTTCTACTGGTAGACAACTTGCGGACATTATGACAAAGGCTTTAGGGACTCAACAACATGAGTATTTACTTTCTAAGCTGGGGTTTAAAAACATGTTTACCCACTAACTTTAGGGGAAGTGTAAAGTTTTTGTTAGTTTTGCTAGGAGTTAGTTACTGGCAGTTAGTTTCTGCATCTTGTATTATATATAGTTGTAAACTGAGCTTTGATATATATATATATAAATAATGAATATTTCTTCACACTATTGTTTACTCTCCTTTTAACAATAGCAATTGCGAGAAACAAAGAAATAAATGTACATATCTCGTAAAGCAATGTTACAAATGAAATTTTATTGCAACAAATGTCCTAAACTAAAGAGGACCGTAGTATGAACTCATTCATTAAAGGTGTTTAGTCTAGGTGTTTATTATAATAAACAATGTTCCGAATTTTTATGGTGGTCGATAAATAAAATAGCATTGAATAATTTAAGACTACAAAAGGTAGCAGCAATGTAATCAAACTTGAAGGAAAAACAAATTAGACACCCTCTAAAATAAAAGCATCGTAACAAGGCAAACTAGAAACGACTAAATCCAAGCAAACAAACATAGTAAAACTATAAATGGTTTAGAGATTTTATTAATTTAATTTTTCTATTAATTTCCATGATTTAAAATCTCATAATTTTGAAATCTAACAGCAAAAGCTAATGAAATATGATATGTAGTAAAACACAATGTGAAACAAATCACAAGACATCGAAATTCGACTGCCTGGGTTTTTGAGTGCGTTGACAGCGATCGAGTCACGTGGTTCGGCCGGACAATTAAGCAACGGAAACACAATAAATTAAAAGCGTAATGAGAAATGGATGACTTAACTTGAATTAGATAGGGACAACATTTGATCTTTAATAATAAAAAAAAAGTAAGCAAACTCGTGCTGATAACATGTTGTGAAATAAATGAAACGAAACAATAAAAATAATAAGAATAACTTGTTGAATAATTTATTAGATACGTATATGTGTAACTAAAAATTAGCAAAGAATATTTTTGTTGAATAATTTATTACATGTACCTTATGTAACTAAAAATCTTATCTCTATTTCGAAACTTGTTAGAGACAATCACCTGTGTCTAGAATTTGATACCAGTACATGTTTTTATGATTAATAGACTGGTGTTGTTTTACTTAGCTAAAGAGAAGAAGATGTCTTATGCAAGTTCGATAATAATGATCTTAGATTGGTTACTAGTGATTTATATTGAACCTTTTTCATTGGAAGTCATTGGCATTTTAGGGCATATTCATTTGTAGATGCTCGCATCAAACACTCTTGGTATTGCTTTCGATATTATGTTCTTATGTATGTTGATGATAATTTTATCATACTAGGGTTCTTAAAGAGGTTTTAGAAGTCACTGCTTTGCCCTTGGAAGAAATTTTCACTAAAAAAATTTTGGTGAACAAAGTTATTTTCCTTGGGATGGAGTTTCATAAGGAGGACATTTTTCTATTCAACAAAAATATGTTTTAATTATTTTTAAGTAAGGCTAAAATAATATTATTGTAAAATTAGAAAATATATATGATCTAAAGCTCACTTAACACAGATCATCTTTGAATTAAATGACACAGAATTAAGCATGATAGCAATGGATAATTATGCGGAGTTTACAATTTTGGAATTGAAGAATCACAACAAGAAGAAATAAATCAACATATTAACCCATTGATTTTCTTTTCTTTTCTTTTCATATAATATTATAGTTGGAAGGGGGAAGTCCGTCTTGGGAAAGTGCGTTGCGTTCAGAGAGTAATCGCCATTAACTTACGACCTCCTCCTCCACGGCATCTGTTGAACCTTTCACATCCTCGATCGTATTTATTGGACGGCGGTGGCAGGCAACCTTTAAAACCAAGTTTGCAAATCTTTCCATGATCTCTTTTTATTGCGTCGTAGGTGATCGTTGGTGCCGCATTGGCACCATCTTCCATCAGCTGCATTGAGCTCACCACCATTGCACAAATCCATAGGATGATGACTTTCTTCCCCACTTCCATTTTATTACAATAATTATTTGGTTAAAACTCTACTGTATTCTGTTTCATTCTGAAGAGAACCGATTGGGGTTTATGTAGTTTCATGATGTTGGTAAATTTAGTAAAGTCTTTAACCAACCACAAATTTGGAGCAGTTTTAGTAAATATGATGAAGAATATCGTAACTTCACGGTCTCTTTGAACGATATATCTATAAATAGGCAGTTTTAGTGAACTTGTTGTAACCATATTGTTCTGAATGCAGTCTTAGGTACATCAGATTCTTTGAATTTATTATGAGACTTCATTGATTAAAACAATATTTTTAAGGTTCCGATTCGAGCAACTTTCATTTAAGCCACCTGTTGTTAAAGTGACGAGACAGTTAATAAAAATTTAATATACCCTTGTCTCGATCCTTACCATTTTAGAAACCCAAATGTCATAACGGTCCTTAAGTTTTTTAGGGCTATGGCGGGGATCGATCCAACTTAATCTTGGAAAATGTTAGGTTTTAAAATAAATGTATAAAGAAATAAATTTGGAGTCGCCATCGTCCATTGGGTTAGGTAGGTCGAATACCTAAAAACACTTTTTAAAATAATTTATAGAAAAATAATTTTAAAAGATAAAAAAATAATATGTGTTTAACCAGAAATTCATTTTGAAAAAGGTTTCGGGAGTCGATTACGTGTGGAGAAGGATTAGCACCCCCACAATGCCCGAAATCGGTACCTATACGATTATATGTTATCTAAACATTGAAATTGGAAAATTCGAATATACATTTAAATTATGATCATTTTTAGAGAAAAAAATATAAGGGTTGTTATTTTGCACGAATAATTCTCGAAATACCTTCCTTGTCAGTTAAGGGGGCATTTCCATGGATTCTCCATATAAAATAATATTACCCAAATATATATATTAATTATATTAAAAAAACAAATTCATTCGAATATAAAATGTATTATTTTGTTCGAACAATTCTTGGAAACACACTCCTTGTCAGTTAAGGTGCGTTTCTATAAATTCCTCGAGTAAAATAACATTTGAAAGTATTACAACTAGCGAGTAATTAACAAGTATATGAATGATGGATCAAAATAATAAAGATAGTGACTTTAGGTATTAAAATATACAACCAACAAGAAATAAAGGCAACCATTGCAAATATTTCACAATCCAAGCACTACAATCGTAAATACATCAACGTTAATCATTCAGGACCAAAATGGAAATTATTAAAGTAAGGAACTCAAATTAAAATATTCCTAAAAATTAAGATAACAATTGAATGGACTAAAAATTAAATAAAACTAAAAAATAGCCAAGTCATAATCCATCAGTGACTAAAATGTATAAAATGAAGATATTGTATCTAAATCATAATAAAATAATAAACAAAATCCAATTAGTGGCTAAAATTAATAAAAATAAAAACTAGTGACTAAATTCGAATAAACCAGTGACTGCAATAGAAAATGCTCGTAAAGTATAGGGACATGGAAGAAAATAAACCAAAAAGATATTACTGAGAAATAAAATGGTAAAATCACTAAATTATACCCTAAATATTTTTAAAAAATAAACAATCACTACGCATGACCAAAATGTAAAACACACCTAAAAGTACAGGGACCAAACAAAAATTAAGCCAAAAATATATAACATGCATCAGAAATGCGTAAATTATAAAAAATGGTTCCTTCAGGTGACTATTTTGCAAAAGCACACCTAACTTAGGGGGACCTAAGTGCAATTTCCCCCCTAAAGTTTTATATAAATATAATCTTTTTCTTTTTTATTAATTATTTCATTTTTATTTTTTTAACTTTTTAGAGATAGAGGGTCTCACCTCTCTCTAAGATTCCGGCTATCGCACCGTCGTCTGGGCTATTGCCAGTCG